GCAAGTGTTCTTTTGAGAAATTCGTGTAGCGTGTTGTCAGATACTTCTTCTATATCTAGAAAGGCACAAACGACCGTTTCTCTGTTTGTCAGTGCATCCTAGATTACGTCAGTCAGCTGTACCAGGACACTTTCTGTAGACCTTCCTGCTCGGTACGCGTGCTAGCTGTGATGGAGTGGCACCCTCTCCAGGATTTCCGTTCTGATATAATTATCAACAGCATTCTCCATGGTTTTAAAAACAAAGGATGTGAGGCTGATTAGTAAAAATCATTTAGGATGTGAGGTATCCATTTTCCCTACTTTTGGAATAAAGGAGCCCCTAGCCCTTCTTCATTCTTCTGGTATATATCCTACTTCAAGACTGCTCCGTGATAGCTGGATTATGTGTAGCAGTAATTCTTCCTTTGCCCGTTGAAGCAGGGCAGGAAATATTCCATCCACACCTGGAGACTTGAACGGTTCAAAAGTTTACGGCCCACTTTAATCAATTTTTGCTGCATATGTGTTTGGCCACATATTTGGTCCCTTATTAGAAAAGGTGTGCTTTTAGGAAAGTGAGTTTCGAGTAAGAGGCAAGCTCTTTTCTCCTCACTCTCCGTGATGCTTCCATTTGGTTTCTTTAATGCCGTAACTGTATCAACTCTCCCTTTTGCCAGGGCCCTGTGTAGTCTCGCTCCCGCAGGTGTAGAGTTAATATCCTTGTAGAATTTTCTGAAGCTATTACGTTTAACTTTTCTGATTTCTTTGTTGCAGGTAGTAAGTACCTCGGTGTAGCTTTTCCAATCTCCGCTGTGCTTGATCCTATTATAGAGCTTACGCACTTCGGATCGTAAATTTAACAGATGATAGTGCCACCAAGAAGCATTCCCACTATTTCTATTTCTTTATATGAGGCAGCTTGATTCATATGCCTCAAGTTTTGCCATATTTAGTTGTTCGATATCGCTTTTCAGAGCAAGTGGGTGCCTGGGCCCATTTTTGTCTGTATATGTGCTAAATTTTGTTTTATAATGGTATTATATTTGTCCCGATCTGTTTTTTAGGATTCTCCTGAGGATCGTCTTAGGACATAACCTTCTTAGCATGCATTTTACTTTTTTTGTATGCTTAACTTGCGGCTTGCTCGTCATTTTAATTATTTAAGGCCTCTTTGCTCCTACTTAACACTCACTTTGTTCGCACATTCACTTGACACGTACTCCGCACACTTTTACTCACACTTTTTGCTATTTGTGATACTCTTTTAACCGCACACCTTCAAACAACGTCCAGAGTGGTACATGAAACCACCGACTGCAGTACCCGCACAAGGACGTCATAGACTTTTAAGTGCATGCCTAACACACCTGCTCTCTCACATTCCAGCCTCACCATCAGTGATTAGATGTCTTGGCCTTTGAAGATTTTGGCAGATTAAGTAAAGGTACAGCATCATCTTTTAGTTTTCGCACACTTTTCGGCAATGCCAATATTTTTTCTTTAATGTAAGAATCTTTATGCGAATAATGTTTCGAACGACTTCTCGCGTTTTTAATATTAAAATTATGTTTTTGATAGCATTATTCAATTAATTTTGAGTCTCCTTAGCCGTTGGAAGAGTAAAGTACCGGTAGTCAGGCGAATATTTTTTTGTTGATTTTTTGCTAATTTTTGCTTATTGTTACTGGTACAACTAGTCATTGCATAGCAAACCATTATTTTTAACGTAATAAAAAACCAAAATTCAATAACAAATGAATAAAACAACTAAAATCACGTATTCACCCGAAATTGAAACACAATAATCTTAAAACAGCAAACTAAAATGCATGCAATTAGCCATTAATTTTAATTAACTTGCCAAAAATGTGTCAGGCATTGACTTAAGCTGAGGAAGAGAGAGAGAAAATATCATGCGCGCGAGCATATCTGTTCATATTAGTATCATGTGATTTTTTAATGTCGTCAACCTACTTTCTGACATCACGCCTTGGTTATGTGCGATGTACAAAATAACGTGACATAAGCAATTTTAAGCAGACACATTGTTTATTTTACGCATCTGTTGACGTGTTGACCTCTCTTTTTAGCTACAGTCTCTCGCAAATACCACTCTCTTTTTCGTGCTTACTCAGAATAGTACACCACAAAGACGCGATTCGCCAGAGCGCAGTGGCGTATCAAAAAATAAAGATTAATACCTATGAAAACAATAAAATAATTAAAATTAAATTTATATTTCTATGTTTTTTATTTCAAAATAATGAGCTTTTATGAATAGTAACTAGGTGTTCACTGCACAAATGAACCAATGGAGTAAAACGCCCTTGACTAAGAAGAAGTAGAAAGCAACTTTTATTATTGAATATTATATACACTCTATATGTTATAATAGAAAATAGAATATATAAGAAATATGAATATGTTGGAACAAAAATGGAATAATGAACTATTGGGTAAAATTGATTGAATTTTAAAATTGCCTACCTAAAAGGGTATGAAACTCTAAACCATGGTAATTTGCAAAAACCAACACCATATTATATTGTTATCAAGCAATTAAATATGAAAAAAACAAAATTAAAATTAAAATAAAATAGGAATTATTAAAAATTTTACTGGTCAAGTCAATTGTATGAATTTCAAAAAGAAAGTATTACAAAATAAATAAGAAAACTTGTTAAAATAGTTTTAAGTTCTAAAAGAAAGTGCTATTTAAAAAAGACATATACCTTGGTGTAAAATAAATGATGGAAAAAAACCTTAATTCAAAGTACATTGAATAGTGGATTGGAAAACAATTGAAAAATAAACAATTTAGGAAACATCTTGGAATATAGGAGATTAAAAGAAAAATATAAGTAAAATTAGAAGAAAATCCATATTATAAAGAAAAACTAATCAATAAGAGAACCATATAAACAACGAGAAACATCTATAAGACGAAACACAGGATAAAACCAACAATTTTAAGGCCTATAATTAAAAATATTTGCAAAGCAAAGTACTTTCCTTGTTCCAGTAAGATAAATTGTTTGAAAATCCAATTTGAAGACATTTATCTACGCAATAGGACCAGCTCCATTAGATATAGCTATAAATTCTGCACAGTGTCACAAAAACTTTATTAAAAAACCAAACACAAACTGTTTCTCTGTCAATTAAATGAACTTTCACAATATTCAATTGTAAATAAAGAATTCATAGTAGCTTAATCAATTTAGTTTATAGGTGTACAAATAATAATAAATCATTAAATATAATTTATGATATCATCGTTAGTATAAAATAATTTCCTTGTTTTAAATAACCTCAAAATATAGTTGGGAGTGTCTATTGAAAGACCAACTATACAACAAATAATGGATCTAAATTATATTTAATAATAGTAATTTGAAAAACTTATAATAAAACATACAATTCTCTTCAACAAGTTTGATTTTTCTTTTCACAATAATAAACATAATATTATTATAAAAAAAAGAGTTTTCTACCTCTCTGATCTGAAAGGCAAAGATAAGTATATCCAAATATCCAAAAACCCTGAAATACGTCATTTATTTATGATGTGTAACTACAATTCCAATTTTCTAGTTCTTACCTTTTAAAAATTTATACTCCCATACAAACGTTCCCCCCCAGTTCCCCCTTTAAAATGTAAAAATCCAAAACCTAATATTACGTCATTATTCATTTATAAGGAGTAGCTACAATTCCAATTTTCAAGTTCCTACCTTTAAAAAATTCGATGCTCCCTTCAAACTTTCTCCCCCCCGTTTCCTCATCCTTAAAATATAAGGTTTATAAAATCTGTTTTTAGTGAATGTCTACGTCAAGAAAGGAATAATTGTGCCAAATTTAAAGCCAATCGGACTTATAGTTTTGAAGATCTTGTGATGAGTCAGTGAGTGGTATTTTGATTTTATTATATAGATAAGAAACTTACTAATCTATCAATCATAATAAAATAAAATATTAAATAAAGGCGCTTAACTAATAAATTAAAAATCAATAAAAAAATAATTAAATAAAATAACTAAATTTAGTATTAATATAAAAAATAAATACTATATCATATTTTATCAATATACATAAAATATTTCTAATAAAAAACAAAAAAAGAGAAATTAAAATGTTTATATTAAATTCAAAGAATGATGTCTTTCAAAACTGAAACTGCTGGCTTAATAAAATGTATCTATACATTGATAAGGAACCGGTTTACAAAAAGCAGATTCGATCAACCTACTCGCAGGACATGGTAGTTAGTGTAATCCAGACACCTGTAAAATTAAACACAAAACTAACATATACCCAATCGGAATTGTACATTGGAATTAGAGAGATCTATGTAAGTAATAAGTTGTTATTTTTTGGCAGGTAATGTCTGCTCTTAATCCTTCTTCAAATTACCAATAGTACAAATTACTGTCAAAAGTTTATCAGGTTTTTAAAATTTTATAAATATTTGGCTGACAGTCTAATAAACTTATGCATTAGCTATTGAAATATTTAACAAGCGTTCTAGTAATCGGGTGTAAGAGTTTTAAATTATTTCAGTCTTTTTTTTTAATATTTATGTAAGTAATAAAATCGTTTAATATCCGTTTTTAATAAAGAAATAACCCAGGGCATGTGAGGATATAAGTATATTCAATCGATCGCCTGCCTTGCTTATATTGTGGTATATAAATTTCCATATTTTACTAAACATTTTTGCCTTCCGGTTATACTTATATTTATCCACTCCAATCTTTATACTTTTAGTCTTGAAGGTAAATGTTATCTGATGTACCCGTATTAGGATTAACAATGTTTACTAATGAAAATTCTAAAAAAATGTATTTTTATTTTGTATATAAAAAGAAATATAGCCAATTTATATGGATAAAATATTTATAGAAATTTCTTCACCGTATAAAGCAAATAACTATTTAATTAAACTTATGAATAATAAAAAATAATGAAAAAAATCTTGAATTAACAACGACCACATATACATATTATTCTTTGTTTCAGGTTTCTTGAAAGCTGGCACTGAAGAAATGTCGAAGAGCAACTTTGGTTTGGTAGATCAGATCGCGTCTCTAGTTTGGATTAAAGACAACATCGCAGCTTTCGGAGGAGACAGTAATTCCGTTACGCTGTTTGGACATGGTACAGGGGCAGTTTGTGCCAGCCTTCTTATGATTAGTCCTATGGTTTTAAAAGGAAATGAAAGTAAGTTAATTAAATTCTTAAATAATAAAATCAATATTTAATTTTATCATACGCTATTATTTCTTAAAAAAGGTTTTAATTTTTAAATATTACTAAAAAAAATCAAGACGAGTTAAATCTGGTAATCTAAGTTGCTATTTGATTGATTCTCTTCGCCCAGCTCGTATATTTGGAAGGTATTTTCTTATTAAGACATCAGCTTAGTGAGGGAGCGCACCATCTTGCTGCAGCCACAAACCATTTCTGTTTGGGAAGAACCAGTTAAGGTCAGGTAGCAAAAATATTACTGACATGTTAAAGATTAATTAAAAAAATATGATCTTGTTATTCTATTATTTATTATTGAAGCCATGTACTCACTTTCTCCGGGTATTGAGTACCATACTTCTTAATCCAGTTGAAATTTTCCGTAGCCTAATACAGAAACGTGACTTTTTAGAATAAACATAACTTCATTAAACCTTTTTTTCTAAACTAAAGTATAGATATGCCACTAATTTTAAGAATTATTGATATTATAATATAAAATGCTACATGTCCTAAACTGGAATGGGCTTCTTTTTAAACTCTAGTACAGTGGTCGCCAACCTCTCAATGTGTTGAGCTACTTTGTTAATTTTGGAATAAACAGCGAGCTACTCGCACGGAAGCCACGTAACGCAACGTAAATAAAACAATCCACAGTTAATTTATCATTATATGTATTTATTTTACTATTTAACTGGTAATACATAATACATAGGTACTAATAATAAACTAATAACAAAATAACTAATATAACTAGTACGTACTTGTTCATAGCTACATTCCTACCTACCAAACAAAGATGTTTGAAAAATAAACACAAACTTTTATCCAGCCACAACGGCATGTCACGTAAGATTTAAAAATAGTTAATAATAACAACAAAAAAGTAACGCACTATCATGAACATAAACATTAAAAAATATAAAAGCACGTTAAATGAGAAGGCTGACATTCTGACTCATCGATAATTTTTTTAATGTTTGCAGTATAATTTGATACAGCCATTCGAATACAATTATCCAAATGTTCATCTGTAAGTCGATTGCGATATTCGTTCTTAATAAACTTCATATTGGAAAAAGAAGATTCACACAAATCGGTTGAACTGAATAATGCTTTCACTTTCAAGGCAACACGGCATAGAATTGAATATTTGTCTTTACTTACAATAGGCCAAATACATTTGGTACTTGAGACTAACGATTTTAAGGCTAAATCATTTTGAAACTTAAATACTTCCATTTCTGTTGCAGCGATGTCTTCGCCAAAGTTCTGCATAACACAAAATACAAACTGTTGGATATCAATTTCTATAAAGGGTGAAACAACAAACTGCGCTACTAAAGCCATTTCGTTCAAATCCTTAAAACGATTTTTAAATTATTCTTCAGGGTAGAAACTATTTCTACATGATATTTTCTGTCATAGGGTTCTAATGGATTTTGAAATATTTTTTCTGAAAGAATAAGAAAATGCTTGGCTTCGCTGTTAATTAGGTTTTGTTCCCAAAACTCCAGCTTTTTGATAAATGCTTTTATATTAGAAATCATTTCCGCTTTTTCTTTATCTTTCCTCTGAAGCTGCAAATTAGGTTCGTTAAATTTCTATGTTATGTCCACGAGAAAACCAAAATCTCTAAGCCAGATTGAATTTTCTAGTTCTGGAGTCGGTTCATCGCGTCGTTTGAAAAATTGAACTATGCCAGATAGGACATCATTAAAACGTTTCAGCACCCGTCCTCTACTTAACCATCGGACTTCAGAGTGAAGGAGTAGGTCCCCGTAGTGACAGTCAACTTTATCGGCCAAGGTTTTGAATAATCTTCTTTGTAACGCTTGAGCTCTAATCTTGATCACAATTTTTACCACCAGTTTCATAACGTTGTTTAGTTTCAGGAAATGTCCACATAATGCTTGGTGATGGATAATGTAGTGATAACAGAGAAATTGCGGAAAAGTTTCATCTTTACGACATAACGCCACCAGACCCTTTTCACAACCCACCATAGCTTGAGCGCCATCGGTTGTCAAGCCTACCATTTTCGATATTGGAATTTTCTCGGAAGAAATAATATTTTTTAAATGAGAAAATAACTCCTGTCCAGTGGTGTGTCTTTTCAGTGGAATGAACTTCAAAAGATCTTCTTTAATCGTAAAATAACTAAAAACCATCCTGACGAACACAGCCATCTGGGCAGTGTCAACGACATCTGTTGATTCATACAGTTGAAGTGAAAAATAAACACAGTTATCTAAGTCAGTTCTTAACTGTAAAAAAATATCATTGCTTATTACTTCTACACGTCTCATCACTGTATTAGCAGAAAGTTGCATTGATTTTATAGCTGAAACTATCTCGTCTTTATTTCTAAAGTTGGCATTTAACGAATCAGCAGCTTCTAAAAGCGCCTATTTTATCATTTCCCCGTCTTCATAAGGTTTCTTTTTTTGTGCAATTATCTGGGACGCGTACTATGCTTCAGTTGCAGCCTACTTTTTGTCGACTGTTCTTAAAATATTAATTGTTGTCCAATTAACTGCTTTTTTAATTATTTTAGTTTCTCCTTTCTGGCAGCAGAATGTAGTGGGAATGATTTTTCAAAATTAGAACGTACAGTTTTATGATGTCTCTCAATATTTCCTTTTTTTGCAACGGAGACCGAAGTATTACATAACAAACACATTTTTACCTTTAACTTCTGTAAAAAAATATTGTTCTTCCCATTCCGAATGAAAGTGGTATGTCTTCCTTCTTAAAACTGCTTGCTATAATATTAGTTTTTGTTGTTCTCTACTAACCCAACCGCTGGACGTTGGTTACGAGTTCAGTTTTAAACTAAAAGCAATGTCGCCGCGCTGTGCGTATTTATCCCGTTCAAAGCAATCCTGATCGTTCTCGAACACTAACGCGCTGGTCTGGCTGGTCGGTTCTAGTCGATTCTAGCTTGATGGCGTCAGCGGCAGATCGCTTACCGCAACGTTGCCGCTGTTTATGTTTAATATTATGACAATTAGATTTGTTTGTGGAATTTTCGGAAGCTTCTCTGATTTTTGCAGTTTGTATTTTTTAAATTAAAATCGTTGTGAGAGCTACAAGAATTGCCTCCGCGAGCTACCGGTAGCTCGCAATCGACAGGTTGGCGACCACTGCTCTAGTAGAACCTTTATGGTTTCTTACATTTTCCGTATATCTAAATTTCTTTTACATTTTGTTTATAGTGGATTGCGAAATTGGTTTTTGATTAAAATATTATTTATTATTGAATAAAACATACATCTCTCTCTGTGTCCTTAATTTGTCCCTACAAACAATTTTTATCAGTAGTTAGGATTATGAAAAGAAACCCATTTTTGAACAACAGTTAGGCAATCGTAATATTTTGAAATCAATATTTTATCATTGCTGTGTGAACAATTTATAATTTTATTAGTTTATATTGCACCAAGCTAGTGTTTTAGCCAACCAGCAATTTTTCTTAATTATATACATAAGAGGCTTAAAACTAAGAGTTCACCCAATGGTGTCTGTTCCTTTCTGTTCTAATGAACTCTACACGCTTACTGTGCTCTGCTTTTACAATACTAATTCAAATAGTTTGGTCTTCCTAAGCCTTCTCATTGGATAACGGTTGCCAAGCAACTGTAGATCTATAGATCTCTTTAAAGGTCTGTGTTCCGTACATACCAAGGTGCGTTTACTATTGCTCTTAATATTTTGTTTTGAAAACATATTGTCACGAAGTGGTCGTCAGCGTAGGGGGTATTGTTGCTCAGATTTTATCTGACGACGCCACAACGAGCTCTAGCTCGCCACGCTATATTCTGAGTGGCCCGAATTTTCCTAAAATTTGAATAAAGTCTGCTCAACCCAAAATACAACCTGAAGAAGTTATTCTTCAGGGTAGAAACTATTTCTACACGATATTTGCTGTCACAGGGTTCTAATAAATATATTTTTTCTGAAAGAATAGGAAAATACTTGGCATCGCTGTTAATTAGGTTTTGTCCCCAAAACTCCAGCTTTTTGATAAATGCTTTTATATCAGAAATCATTTCCGCTAGTTGTTTGTCTCTCCCCTAAAGCTGCAAATTAAGTTCGTTTAATTTCTCTGTAATGTCTACGAGAAAACCAAAATCTCTGAGCTAGATTGAATTTTCTAGTTCTGGAGTCGGTTCATAGCGTTGTTCGAAAAATTGAACTATACCAGATAGGTCATCATTAAAACGTTTCAGCACCCGTCCTCTACTTAACCATCGGACTTCAGAGTGAAAGAGTAGGTCCCTGTATTGACAGTTAACTTCATCGGCCAAGGTTTTGAATAATCTTCTTTGTAACTCTTGAGCTATAATCTTGTTTACAATTTTTACCACCAGTTTCATAACGTTGTTTAGTTTCATGAAATTTTCACATAATGCTTGCTGATGGATAATGCAGTGGTAACAGAGAAATTGCGGAAAAGTTTCATCTTTACGACTTAATGCCACCAGACCCTTATCACAACCCACCATAACTGCAGCGCCATCGGTTGTCAAGCCTACCATTTTCGATATTGGAAGTTTCTCGGAAGAAATAATATTTTTTAAATGAGAAAACAACTCCTGTCCAGTAGTGTGTCCTTTTAGTGGAATAAACTTCAAAAGATCTTCTTTAATCGTAAAATCACTAAAAACCATCCTGACGAACACGGCCATCTGGGCAGTGTCAACGACATCTGTTGATTCGTCCAGTTGAAGTGAAAAATAAATACAGTTATCTAAGTCAGTTCTTAGCTGTAAAAAAATATCATTGCTCATTACTTCTACACGTCTTATCACTGTATTAGCAGAAAGTTGCATAGATTTTATAGCTGAAACTATCTCGTCTTTATTTCTAAAGTAAACAAATAACGAATCAGCAGCTTCTAAAATCGCCTGTTTTATCATTTCCCCGTCTTCATAAGGTTTCTTTTTTTGTGCAATTATCTGGGACACACG